ATATCCTCACTCCAGGGTGCTTAGGTCTCTGCGAGGTGAGGATTTCTGAGATTACGTGGTTGTTTTGATTATTCGAGTTTACTGGTATAATGTATGAGCCTTTTGTCTTTCCATACGATCAAGATGTAATAAGAGGAAAATTTTGTATATATGAATAAAATTGTTATAGTTGTTTCCTTCATATTGTTTCTAGTTGTTTTACCAAAATCATCACGTTTTGAGCCTGCTCCTCTCGGTATTATTGATTGTTAATTTATTGTAACTTTGTCGATTAGTTGTAGTCTTATGTTGATATTGCGGTTTTTTTTTTTTCTTTTTTTTTATCTTTAATTTTTTTGAGATCGACCTTCTAGTGTTGTCGTTTATGGTAGTTTGTTATTGCATTGTAATTCTTACTGTAGTCCAGTTGTCGTCGTTTAAAATTTGCTGTCTTTTTTTTTTTTTTTTCAATTTTCTTACCTTTTTCAACGAGGATGTTGACAGTGATTTTTTTCTTTTGTTTTTTTGTCTTCTTTTGGTGCAATGTCGATTTTTGAAATAGATGTCATTTGCTCGTTGCTGTTTATTTCTCTATTTGATGTCGTTTGTTAGGTGGTGGTAGACTTGTAGCTTTATATACCTGGTGCCCGTTTCCAGCTGCTTGCTTTATGAAATGCTTCTCTTTTGGGTATTCTTTGCAGTTCATTTACCGGACCAGAGCCTTTTCGACTACTTGGTGTAGGTCCAACACCCGTTAGTCGTTTCATGCAGGTGTCGTTTCTTAGCTCGTAGTCGATTTCTGTCGTTTTCTCGTGTAGTTTATATGTCGAGTTATATAATTGATTCTCTCTTTCTGTGACTTCTGTCGTTTCTTCTTCTGTTGGCATTCTCAATTTTGGATTATTATTTTTTTTTTTTTCTGTTTTGGAAGGTTGATGGCTTAGTTTGGTAGGGTTATAGATTTTAGAAAAATTACTTTTAGTAAGAAGCAGCTGTTACAAAAAGCAGCTGAGTGTTTGGTAAACTATAATTATAGTAGCTGTGCTGGTTTCAAAATTAGCATAATAGCGTTTGATAAATTATGTGGTTGAATTACTGTGGATAGTTAAAAATTATAACTATATTATATTATATAATAATAAATATATATTATAAATATAATAAAAAATATGATTATATAATATATTATATATTATATTGTATTGATATAATTATATTTATTATATTAATAATAATATAATAATTAATATAATAAAATATTAATATAATCTTATAATTCTAATATTATTATATATTATAGTGTATTACAACATAACATATTAATTATAATATATTTGTTTAATATAATATAATATTATAATAATTATAATATTATAAAACATATTATAATAATACATAAGAAATATTAATATTTCTTATGTATTATTATAATATGTTTTATAATATTATAATTATTATAATATTATATTATATTATAATATATAATCATTATTATATTATATTATAATATATAATATATTATATAATTATGATATTATTTATTATAATATTATATTATATTATATTATGAGTCTGAATTTTAAATTGGGAAGATTGTAAATTTTCAATTTAATTAGGGATATTATGAAAGTTTCATTAATTGTACTATGCTGATTCTCGCATAATCTAAAAGTTAAAGTTGTCTTTAGGCTGCTTTTGATTTTGGCTGTAGATTCTTAAAAAATTCTTCAAAAAGCGCTTTTGAGGAAATTTATCAAATACTAAAATCAGCTTCTGCTACAAGTAGAAGCTGATTTTGGGATGAAAAAGTAATACCAAACTAAGCGGATATCATTTTAATGATCATGTCGTTTATTAATGTTCTTGTCGTTTTTATGCTGTCTTTTAATACATTGTTGCCGTTTCACCATTGATGTTGTGTTGTGTTTAAATCTTACAGTCCGTTTCACAGACCAGTGGCGAAGCTATTATAGGACGAGTGGGGGCTGCTGCCCCCACTGACTTATATTTTTTTTAATCTTTAACTTTAGAATTTCTATTTCTTTTATTTTGCCCCCACTCAAAATAAATAATCTCATATTAGTCCCTCTAAAATGAAGATATTATGTGGTATTTTCAAAACATAAAAGCTCAATGTCACTTTTTACCTGTTTTATGATCTTTTTGATATTGTGTTTTATTTAGATTGTTCGAAATTTTAAGGTTTATTTTGTTTAAATTTATTATATTTTTCTTTACAAAGTACTCAGTCAGCACATGTGATTAAAACCATTAAAATATTGATGTATTGATGTCGAGAGTATTAAAGTTAGAATTCAAATAAAATTTTGTGTCATTTTGAGTTGTAGGGATAAAATTAGACAATTGTTATTTTCAGGGTAAATTTAAAATTAATTATTTTTTATTAGTAATTTCTAAAATAAAGAATTAGGTCTTGTTCAGTTCACGGATTTGAGTTTTTAATTCGAGTTGAGATGTGATTTTATGTGAAAGTTTTTCACTATAACATAAAAGTTAGATGTGATTTTTTGTGAAAGGTTTAAATTGTAATAAAATTTAAATTAGTAAAGTGAACGATACCTTATTATACACTCCACTGAATTCGATGGCCAGCTCCGCCATGTCATTTTCTAACTCTTGTCGTTTTCAGATGGTCTTGTTTTACTCTGGTTATCGCTTTTGACGTGATACAGCCAGTACTCGGTGTGGTTTTCAAAAATCATACCGTCGGTTTCATCTTTGTTGTTATCTCTTACACTTTCGTTTCATTCCTGCTTGTGCCCATCCGATCTTCCCCATAATGTACCTTAAAATTAAAGTAATAATAATACTAATATCCAACTAATCAGAATAATGGTCGTGCCAACATATCTTTGTGCCAGTAGTAGTCTACCGAGATACCTATGATAATTTACCGACATACTGGAGGTAGTCCACCGAGATACTCAAAGTTTCCTGTCACGTGACTGAAAATTCCAATGAACTGCCAAGTCATCGGCTGTAGTCTACTATGCTACTAACAAAACACAGGGGCTGTAGATCTTGAGACACCACTAGAGGCGACAGAGTTGCTGCTAGGAAAACCCCGGCCCCTCACTTGGGATCGCGGCGGCGCAATCGCAAGTAACGTTACTGTGCGCCACATGTGGCTCGCGGGGGTTGTAGATCTTGCGTAGCGTAGTACTACTGGAGTGATGGGCAGTAACAATGACTTCAATCAGGTATCCCTGCATTCTACTTCTCCCTTTTCAAGGAAAGGTCTTCGTTCGAGAAGTAACAAACCGGGATCAAGTAGCTTGGCTTTTATGGCAAGTGATAACAAAAAACCGTATTCGTTAGACGACATCTGCAGACAAAAATTTAACGTTACACGTGCTCTTTAATAAAACTTTAATTATGTCTTACTAAAATGCTAATGACAACAATATTTTTACGCGAAATTCTTGAGTCACCGAGTTTGCCTCATCTCTTTCAGCAAAGAAATGACAAACTAGCTAGCGGGCAAATGTGAAACTGTGGATGGAATAAGCGAGATACTGCTAATTGCAGGGTCTTGCCTACGACAGATAAACTTAACCAGAACAACTGAGATAAATCATAAATAGAAACTACTTGAGAAACGATGTCAGGTGTCGTTTGTTAGGTTGTAGTCCCTTTCTGTCGTTTGTTGAATGATTATATAGCCTTTTTTTTTTTACAATGTCCTTTCTCTTGTTAATATCCGCTTTACAATATTGCTGTGTTTGGAGATCATCTCGAGACTTCAGTTATAATTGATTTTTTTCCCGTGATTCTGTTGTTTTTCCCTCTATCGGCGTTTAACAATTTTGGATTCATTGCCGTTTCATTTTTGCGATGGTTAATCTTTTTCTGTTTTGAAATGTTGTTGTCGTTTATCTTGACTATGTCGTTTTTACGTTCTTCTCCTTTTTTTTTTTTTTTTAATTTCCCTTCTCTTTTTTCTTTTTTTCTTTTTTGTTGCTGTGTCGTATTCTTTGGTAGTGGATTTTCTCGTTCTTGTCGTTTTACAGTTGCTCTTGTTTTCTCGTTTGTTAGTGGCCTAGTGAGTACTCGGTGTGGTTTTCAAAATCTTTTCGTGCGTTCAGTCATGGTCGTTTTCTCTTTAATTATCGTCGTTTCACTGGTTATTGTCTCTTTTCATGTGTTTGTTGATTATTGTTCATTCTTTTATGAATGATTATTCTTGGGCTCCCCCTCCATAATGTCGTCTTTCGATAAATACCAAAAATGAAATAGCCACTTTAACAGCAATTTCCTTTTGTTGATTATTGTTCACTCTTTCATGAATGATTATTCTTGGGCTTCTTTCGATAAATACCAAAAATGAAATATCCATTTTAACTTCAATTTCCTTCTCTCTCTCTCTCTCCCCCTCTCCCCCTCGAAATCCTCATTTTTTTTCCTATTTTTGAATCATTTAGTCCTCATCAGATATACATGTCGATGTATCCACTTTAAGGTTTGCATAATCACATTCATTGCACTCATGTTTTATCATGGATTTTTTTTTTATTTTTTTAATTTTTATTTTTGTGATGCAGCTCACTCGCGTGTATGTATTAGTATGACCTACCAACTGATTGTTCAGACTGATACTCTTCATGTTGCTCATGCATCGTCTGAGGATCAACTAGCGGATGTCCTTATAAAGCCTCTTTCTCGCACACAGTTGCTCACTCTTAAGACTAAGATTGGACTCTACGATCAAAGCTCCATCTTCCGTATATTAGAGGAAATCAGCATTATCTTTTATTTAAATTTGATTTTACAATTACTTATTTTAATCTAATTTATTCCTTATATTTTGGAGAGTAGGCTACTTATTTTATTTCTTTTTTGAATTCTTGTATATAAATCCGTCATTATCAATGGAAAGGGCATGCCATTAATTTCCAGTTACTTTGTAGTTGTCACATTTGAATTGGTAATGATACAATCCTGCACAATTTACATATTCTAGAACATTTCTAGAGCAAAGAATTCACCTTTCGTTTGATCCCACACAAGACTTTCACCAATATGGAATTTTATGGAACCAACATCAATTAGTGTAACCAGCTTTTTTTTTTTACTCGAAAATAATCTTGTATATAATAGGAATATATTTGTTTATTTATTTCTTAATATGAAATATTAAAATTTTCAGGTTTTTTTTTGTGGATGACACGCCCATTAGAGTGTTCAAGAACCTTGAAAATGTTGGGGCGAGATACCCTGAAGTGGAACAATACGTAGTGGGAAGCATATGGAATGGAGAAGGGTGGGCCTCACGTGGCAGTAAAGTGGACTGGTCCAAAGCACCATTCGAGGCCCATTACAGGGAGTTTGAGATCAACGGCTGCGAATTTGGAGGAGATTGCATTTCTCCATACTTCTGGTGGAACAGGCATACGAGAATGCGAAGAAGAATATATATTATGACTATTGCGGTGATAGGGGGGGTCTAACTACAAGGAATGCCAAGTTCATTGATCCACTTCTGTTCGTTTACTTTTATCGTAGCCCGCTAGGTTACTTTACTTTTGTAATGTTTCGTTTTCTTTATGATTAATTTATAATCTGTATCCGTTGCAAACAAAATCTCAATGCAATTTATTCTTCTCTCTTTTCATGAGGTATAAGAGGTATATGAGCGGATTTTAGTTGGCAGTTTTTTCTTCCAACTCTTTCTCAATTAAGAGCATTTGATATGAGAGTGTAATCTGTATTATAATATTTGATGCAGGTGCATATCTAAAGTATCGTGAAAACGGCAATAACACTAAAGCCGACAAGATTAAGTGAAAACGACAATGACATCAAACAAACGACAATATCAAGTGAGAACGATACAGAACGGAAAACGACAATAAAATGCGTAAACGGCATCACATGGAAAAAAGATAAATTAAAAAAAGCATATGAATTCAAACGACAATAATATAGCTATGAGGTAAAAAAAAACGGCATTAATCCAAAACATAAAAATTTAAACGACAATCACCTTAAAAAAAGTATGATTAATAAATAAAGGACATTAATTAAGAAATGTTGTAGTAGCTTAACAACGACTAACGAAAAAACAGCAAAAAAAACATCAATCAGAAAAATCACCAACACAATAAAAGCATCAATCAGAAAAGAAGAGGAAAAAAACGACAATAAATTCAACAAACGACCAGTTATGCCAGAGAGAGAGAGAGAACAATTTATCCCTACCTTTTTCGACTAGAATAGCTTGCCTTAATAGTTCCTACGTTCTCCTTTTCCCCTTTTTAACGAAGGTCTTTTTCGTTTGAGAACTATAAGGCATCAAGCAGCTAGGCTATTTTGGTAATTAGCGGTATCTAATAATTCTTCACTAATCATGTACCTTTTTTTTTATTTATTTACAAAAAACTGTATTCGTTAGATCAAATTATCCTGGCATCTAATAATTCTTCACTAATCATGTACCTTTTTTTTTTATTTATTTACAAAAAACTGTATTCGTTAGATCAAATTATCCGCGAACATTGTAAGACCCGTGTCTTAGAAAAGGCTAAGGCAACATTCCTACCCAAAATTCATATGAGCCACTGAGCCTGCCTCTCCCTTTCAGCAAAGTAATGACAAACTAACAAACGGACATATAATAATAATATGACATTGTCGTGGAATAACCCAATAAGCGTCTTCACCTTTTCCCTCTCTACGTTTATTTTTCTTTAAATTTTTATTTAGTTTTAATTTTTTACTCTCTCTATTTCTTTCTTTTTTTTTTGTACGTTTATTTTTCTTTAAATTTTTATTTAGTTTTAATTTTTTACTTTCTCTAATTCTTTCTTTTTTTTTCTTTTTTTTTTTCTTTGTGGAAAATGATGTTAGCGTAGAAGATAAAACACCGACATAGGGTGCGGTCACCAATACACATGCCTCTCAACCAAATCGGTATTGTCTTTATATTATCTCCTCCTTACCCTTCTTCCCATCTTTTCCTCTCCGGCCAAACTTTCACATTTGATCCTCAAATTCAATATTCAAACAGCTCAAGAAATTAGTTGAAAATTATGGCAGGCATTTCGATGCCAATCCCACTAGCGCTTTCCATTCTCCTAGTCCTTGTGCTACACTCAAACAATGTTGCAATATCAGCCGAAGAACCAACAACCACCGTTGTGTCCAAAGATGACTTATTATGCAATAGTATGTGCGTTGAATGTGACAACCCATGCAAACCAGTGCCGTCGCCACCGCCACCGGTTGTCGTGTACCCGCCACCTCCGTCACCTCCGCCGCCTTCTCCTCCTCCTCCCATGCTTCCCGAATGCCCGCCCCCGCCGGCACTTCCACCTCCTGCCCCCGTAGGCCCGGAATGCCCCCCTCCTCCACCAGTGCCTCCTTGTCAAGACACTTGCGTCCTTCCGCCTCCAGGCAGTGCCGGCAACGGTGGTGGCAGTGGCGGCAGTAACGGGGGAATTTATTTTCCACGCCCACCAGTAGTACCTGCACCTTATGATTCTCCACCACGTCCATATTATCCAGGATATTATTTTCCTCCACCCTCCAGTTCTTTCCGTTTAAGGATTCATATTGAGGCTTCCATGACCTCCATTTTTCTCATCCTCGCTTTTATTATTTGATACCTCTCGTGATCGTGATACTGAGTCCGTGCTTCCCCGTCTATGTAATTCCTTGTGGTAATGTTAATTAAGTATAAGTTTCCTTCTTTAATTATTAGTTATAACATAGCTAGGGTTTATAATTATGTTTAGCAGTACGAATAGTTGAAGGAAGTTGATCTCTTATAGATCTTGATCAAATTGATCAGTAAATGCCATTGCCATGGCCTCTTATAATTAGAAGCAAAACAAGAAGAATAAGGCACTAAAGAAATTATGTGGTCTGTTACTAATTCCTGTCCTAGCTAGCTATTTTTAAACGACTACTTGCTTGTAAAATGTAAAATTATAAGCAATATGTGTATCAATTTCAACTAGCTGTTAATGAAATTCTGGATTATTTTTTGTTCTTCTTTCTTGTGGTTGAATTCTATGTCCACATTAATAACGTTGCTAATATTTTCCTTTTTCGAGATGATCAGATCAATCCTCAATTTGATTTTCTTCTTCTTTTTTTTTTTCTTTTTCTTTCTTTGAAAAAGAAAATGATAAATAAACTTCGTGAAAGGGAAAGTAATGAGCCTCTTACAAGTCCACCAAGTTCAAATCTCCAAAATTAATACCTGCGAGATCAGATCTCTCCCTATTATCTCGGTTTTAATAATTAATTGATATATAACTAAAATACCTTTTTTTTTGTGTGTGTGTGTGTGTTTGTGGGCGGCTAGGTTACGATAACCAGGTTGAATCTTCTACAAAAAAAAAAAAAAAAAAAAAAAAAAAAAAACATGGACGTCTTTTCAATGTTATTCAGCTTAATAATTCTTGGTAGTCTCGACTAATTTACTTATCCACTATAAAAAAAATCTAACAGTTTCTCCCTCCCTTGTCCCACACACTGCTGCAATGAGTTTTTCAACATAATCTTTACAAATTAATGAACCATGCATATTTATAACATAGGTCCCAAAAAGTTGTTAATGGTAATAAAGGGCTCGGCCTGTCTATTAAAAGAAAAAAAAAAAAACATACACACACACACCAAAAACATATATATATATATATATATATATATATATATGCAGTTAAAACAAAAAGTTTTAATTGTAATAACTAGTATTTGTCAAGAAAGAAATGAATCCCCTTAAACCAGTAATGTGACTTAATACTAACATTACTAGCAAATAATATATATTATGCACTTTTTCATCCCTTGAAAAGCGCTAGTTTGATTAAGATGGGTGGGTTCTGGCGCGTATTGAGTGCATTCGGTCGCTAGAGATCATAACAAGTCATAACACATAGGCTCGCTTTTTGTGATTTCAAGCATGCATTTAGATGGAATTGACAAAGCGTTTGTAGCTTTACGAAAAATGCTTTAAATGTACATGTGACGTGTCCACATAATGTTTTTACGTCTTCTGTAAGTTTTATTTTATGCATAAATGAAAGTGAAAAGGTTAAATATAATAATAAGAATGTGATCATCATTCATCAAACGTTGAGTGGAGACAAAGGTAAATGCTGTCAAGCTGGCCGGGCCATAACCATGTAGAACAAATCAATTTGGCTCTTCCTCTATTACTATTTTAGACCTTTCTTCTTAAGTGGTCACACTACACAGTGACACGTATTTGTGTAGTCGATTTCATCATACAGTGGAGAATCTCAATTAGTGAACGTTTAGTTCATAAATTTAAAATTATGATTCATAATTATTTTTAATTTATGTGTATTTTTTTATAAAAAAAAATACTATAACGAGTCATAAATTATAATTTAAACCATGACATTATTCCTCGTACCAAACACTCAGTAAACCATTCCCACCTATCTCTACTGATTTTATTATTATTTATCTTTTGCAATTTAGAGATCTGTGCCTGTTTATTACGAGTGCCATAGTCGGTGCGTAACGTACACTGCATTATATATAGTTGAAGGTTCCTCTGAAAAATTCAAGTTACAATAATGCCAGGGAAAACAACAAAAGAAAATTTCATGTCAGTTTGCAAAGTTTTCAACTCTTAATATTAGCATCTTCCATTTTGACACATGAAGCGCATGTAGAAATAGATTTGGTAGATTTCTCAGCGAGAGACGGAACTGCGCATGTATCTCACTATGGGGGCACAACATTTTTATGTATCATGTTTTTTTTTTTTTTTTGAATTTTTAATTGTTCCCTCAATTAATAATAAAAGTACGGTTATAAATATAACTATATTCTCAGTTGAGAAAAAAAAAATCATTTATGCCTTTTGTAATGTGTGACTACCACAAAAGATATTTGGCTTCCCAGCACTAAGTGAAAGTGATACTAAGGACTCGTTCACTTTACAGATTCAAATTTTCAATTCGAGTTGAGATGTGATATTTTTTTAGAGCTTTTCACTGTAACAGAAAAAGTTAGATGTGACATTTTTTGAGTACTTTTTACTATAGAAACCTAAAACTAAAAACTCGAATCGGTGAAATAAACGAAACCTAAGTTTGAGATGTTGTAAGCAGATATAATTACTTATTATTTTTCTCATTTTTTAATTTTAATTTTACTTTTTTTTCCTTTTTGGGTTAGGATGTACGAGTAAATATCTTCCAATTCTACCGGCCCACGACCCCACGATCTCGCAATAAGCAACCCTAAGTCTAAAAAAAATAGATAATTTATTTTTAAAAGTGCATGAGTTGAATTTTTACTATTTATTTTTTATAAATACTATTTTATTAGTGTAATTATTTAAAGGTTATAAATTAAAAACAAATAATAAAAATTCTCATTCTTGTATTTTTAATAAGTATTTGTTAAAATTACTCATATGAAAATGAATCAGCCCATTTATAGTCTCAAAGTAACCAACCAAAAATTTACACGTAATTAGAAACATTCCCGCCAAAGTATTTTTTTTGAAAAATTGAAAAATTCAAACTCTTCGGAGTTGTTGATATAACCATTCTCTCCCCTACTTTTTCTCTCTCCCACTCTTGAACAAAAATTTCTCACATTCCTGTTCAGAACTCCCAAAGATTTCTCCGATATCAGAAATGGCGAAATCCACCGCTGTTGTTGCAAAGAAGGATATCAAGTCCTCAACTCTCGCATCCCCTGCTCTTCATCCTCCTTACTTCGAGGTTCTTTTATCATCTTCCCCAAACTTCTTCTCTTCTTCCGAGCAATCATTTTGATTTTGATCGCATCTAATTTGCTTTTGTTTTTTCTCTTTTATTTTCGTTGCAGATGATCACAGAAGCCATATCCGCGTTGAAGGAGAGGAACGGGTCGAGCCAGCAAGCGATAGCGAAATTCATCGACGAAAAGCACGGAGAAGTTCTGCCCCCAAATTTCAAGAAACTCCTGTCCGTACAACTGAAGAAGTTTGTCAAGTCGGAGAGGCTATTCAAGGCCAAGAACTCGTTCAAGATTTCCCCGGCGGAGCAGAAGAAGAAAAAGGATCCGAAGCCGATCGCGCCGAAGGAGAAATTAAAATCGGCGGAGAAAATTCCGGTGAGTAAGGAGGCCAAGAAGGCCGTGAAGAAGACGAAGCGGTTGAGTCAGGTGAAGACTCCGGAAGCGTTGAAGAGGAAGACTGGGAAGCCAATTGATTCTTCAAAAACCAAGGGTTCTAAGAGGGCTAGAAACTAGAAAGTGATGCTTAACTGTTTATTATATTTATTGTTTGGAAATTGGTGTTATAAGTACTGACTATTACGACTACGACTGTTGTCAATTTGGTAGGTTTAGTATTGTTGCCAGTTCTGCCAATTGATGTGGTTTAACTTTAGGTCTTGATTAATGGCAAAGATGGCAATTTGCGTTTGCTCAATTATATATGTTCTTAAACGAATCTCTAATATATATATATGATTTTTAGTTGGAAACAGGTGTTAGAACAAATTCAGTCTGTCGTGTTTTTTTTTTTTTTTTGTGCACTTTAAATTATTTTACATTTACAAGTTGGTTACTAAAAGTAGATAATATATAGCATTTTAAATAGTATTATACAATGAAGTGTAATATAGAATGACATATACAGTATATTACGTTTCATATTTTCTAGTGCTAAATAGAGTATTGATATTGATATTTTGGTGGGAAAATGTATCTAATCACAAGCGCCTGAAAATAATAACTTGTCTTACTTTGATTATAACACACTTTTAAAGGTCTAGGCAACTAGCCGTTTTCTGAAATTCATAATTTTGATCCATACGTTAACAAATTGTATATTTTTAAATAGAAACTAGTACGAGGATGATACACAAGAGGTTTAAAATGGATAAAATGATCAAAAATGGAAATATGTTTGAACAAAATAATTTTTTTTAAAAAAAAGTTCTAAAATAAAGCCATATTTTGGCACTCAACCCGCATCTATTTTTTTCTTCTTCTTTAGAATTTGTTTTCCTTTTTACATATGTTTGCTATTCCTTTTAAAGCTCTCACGTGTAGTTTCTGGTCCTAATTAAGTTTATTAACGGAAGGATCAAAACTCTATATTCGAGAAATATTGGCATAACTAAACATTTAAAAATAAATATCAAGATCAAAATGAGATAAGTGTATATCTCTTGAGTCATTGATAAGAAATGTTAGTATAACTCTTTTTATCATTTTATGTATTCACCGTTTGACATGTAAATTTTACTATCTTATTTTTCGTTTAAATAAAAATATATGATATTAGTGGAGTTCATGTGTCAAACAGTAAATGCAGAAAGTGACATAAAAAGTGATGCTATCATTTCTCACTTTTATTTATTTTTATGATCTATGCACACTAAAATATGTTGATAGATCACAGGAAACTATTATTCAGACAGCGAGTGATACCAACTAGCTTGAGAAGTTGGTTAGCGTTGAGACTTGAGATTGTTGATTTCAAATGATATGGACTTATGAATTTATGAGTCTTAGTATTAATATTGGATTGATCATCCATTGGAATATGATTTTAAAGAACTTGGAAAGACGTATGGCCCAGTCTTGACGGCTTTACTTTTTTGTCTGCTTACTCACTTTCTTAGGTTGCCCACAACCAACTAAGTTTTGGACTTGCATTAGAGGTTCCTGTGTCGCACATCTTCAATTATTACCCCTGAAATGACAAATGATAACAAGGTTCTACCTTATTGGTTATCCAGTTTTTTGGGTTAGTGTCGAATTAAAAAAAAAAAAAAAAAAAAAAAAAAAAAAAAAAAAAAAAAAAAAAAACCAATAGAATCTGCAAATTGATTAAGTTTTTCGTTCAAAAAAATTATGAATTAGTTCTTTATTCCAAGTGTGACGGATTGTATGGAACTAAACCATTTGGTATGGGGCCAAGTAGGTACAGGAATATATTTGCTGTCGTTTAGCCAGTGGTCTAATAAAGATTTAAGAGTAATAGCTTGAGGATCTTTCATCAAAATTCTTGAGAAACTCAGCTGGTGTTTGGTGATCATGTTATGTTTTCTGGTCTTTTTTCCCCCCTCAAAATTATGGTTTTAGAGTAACAAGAGTTTTGCATAGTTTTTAGAGAGAAACATAATAGATATTTTTTTTTTTCTAGAATAACTTTCAGAAGGACAATAACTGGATTGAAAGCAAAATAGAATTTGATAATGCATGGCTGGTTTTCGTATCCCGTGATCATCCCATAAGAGACCTCTCCACAGGAGAGAAGAATTCCGCGGATATGTGAAATGGACCATTACTAATCTTAAAACGCACAAATCGAAAGAAATGTTCTAATTGGAAATAGTTAATTAAGTAATTAAGAGGCCACAAAAATGATTCGCTATAGTTCCAAAAGAGAGCCAATCACGTTAAGAAGTTTGTAAACTATATTAATCTTATTGAAGAAACGCCCAATAGGCGTGTCATTTTCATTTGCTTGTAAGCGCCTTAAGGATTAGGATGGCATTGCCCAATCCAATCCTTGCCATGAAATCCTTATCTAATTGAGAATTAACCCACATCACCATCTAAGAAATAGAAAACTTGACCCCACACTATTTTGGTAATTTTTTCTTCTTTCATTACAAAATCACATTTTTTCGGATTAAACTCACAACCCGGCCCCACTCAACCTCGAATGTCACTAGACCAAGAGGTCTTAGACTACAAAATCACATATTAGTAATACAAAATCATTATAACATGACTAGTACTTCAATTAATTAATTAATTAATACGTTTGGTTCACAAAGTGCCAGAAAATAACAAGGTCATCGGATCCCACATTTTGCATCTACTAATTAACTAGCTAATTAAGCTGAGCCGACCAAAAAGAAGAAAGATATATTAGATATGTAGATGACATTATACACGTCAAAGATTGCTTGGTCACAGCCCAAGCTCTGGAGTTGGACTCATAATCTCTTCATATAAGGAGGAAAGCAACCATAGGATTCTTTGACTTGCCCCTCGTGAGTGCAAACCAATTTTAATATTAATACGGTTTCCTCACAAAATGTATAACATATATTATTGATTTAAGTACTGTGATACGTAAGATTAACAAATAAAAAAAAAAAAAGTAGTATAAAATACGTACGTGCACATGGCCACGTAGTCCACAGTAGTTACACCACCATGAACGAACACGTATTATGAGCTATATTGTTGTAAAGTTGTTGTTATTATTTAGTTTAATCGAGTAAAGTAAATTGTTGTTAAGCTTTTTGCCTTGTTGCAAAAATGTTGTTAACTTTTAGTTACTGATTAGGTTAATTAGGCGCTCGAGCCAAGTGACCTGAGTCATTGTGTGGTGTTTGGTTTATGGATTCAAATCATGTGATTAGAATTATTTTTTATTTATATGTATTTTTTATGAAAAAAAATACTGTAACGAATTACGAATTATAATTCAAATCAAGAAACGAATCTAGATACTAAAGGATTACACTGAGACAAAAGAGTAGATAAGAATAAAACTCACGGTGATACTCCGGCGATATTGTCCTAACTCAACTCATGAGTCACGAGGCATGTGACCTAGCCACGTGAAAACTGAAGCTCATAATCCATCTATTTGTAATGATTTTGTTTCCCATGACTACCTCGCAAGTCGTGTCACTAGGAAACTCGCGGTGGAAAAATCCGAATAAGAGGGGGAAAAAAAGGTCTAAACGATGAAAAAGGAGTAGTTGTGAATATTTCTTAACGTATTATTTTGTCATATTTAAAAAATATCTAGTTGTGAATATCTAAATTTTTTTATATCTACAATATAATTTTTAAAAAATGTAAAAACTATAAAAGTTTATGGCAGACAAAATTAGTACATATACGTTGCTATATATCGATTAATTATCATGCATCCAAGTGCACATGGTGGTGGTTTGTGAGGGAGTAACTGACTGAGGCTATCCTTATCACTATTGGAGGCATGGAACTTGATGGCCTACCAACCAAAGAAGCATATAATATTAGGCTGCCTCATCTCCTTTTTGTACCCAAATCATTGATAGGAAAACTATCTCAACTATCCAATACCCCCCACACTTCATGCATTATTCACGCCCCACTAACAAAACCAAAATGACATAACCACTAATATGATGGTGATGAAGGCTTAGGATGCATTTTTACCACTAATTCTAAAGCCTTTGTTGGATTAATAGACGGTACGACGACGGTGTAGGTGAAATAAGCCGCCATTTAAGTAAAATTATTTGGTCAAATTCTTTCGGTTTTATTGATCGGTCTTTAAATTTGAGTTAAAAGAGAGAACGATATGATATCAATAATTTCTTTTTAAAAAAACATATAATATAAATAAATAACTTCAACATTATTATTTTCCTTGGACGACAAATAATTAAAAACATATTTATTTTAACCATTGGAATATAGTTGGAACACTTTCCTACGCGGTAGAAGTTACAAATTTCATTATTTTCGTTTTATTTTCACTTAAGAAACTAAGAAAATCCTTTTATAGAAATATAGGAATCCGTTTTATTAACGTGCACTTCTAAATCCTTAGATTACTTCTTCGCAAAAAAAAAAATCAAAAGATCACTCTAGAATTTTATTACAAGAAAAAAAAACACACACACACACACGCACACGCACACTTCAACATTAACTAAATTTGATTAAAATACAACCATTCAGGAAAAGAAATGTACTAAAAAGCGATCCTTTTTTTTTTGTTAGTAAACTTATCCATCTCAAACAAAGTAACAACAAAAGCAAAGAAGATCAATAAAAATGGACGGCCGGGATTATGCGTGTGATGCACATGCCATGTGGAGCCACATTGAATAAGGACAGCGACTTCCGTGAGAGAAGCAGGTGCGTCATAGCGTACACATTTATGATCGCCACCTCCCCCATTATATTTTAATAACTCATCATTTCCCATTATCTAACACAAATAAAATTTAACGTTATTTTCTCAAAAAAATAAAAATAAAAAAAATATCACATTACAGATTCATAGACATCTTATCGTACATATTATATATATACACCTAATTTAATCAAAACTCCTCCAATTCTTACCCACCTTTTCTTTCTATTTCACTCTCTCTCTCTCTCTCTCTTTCTCTCTCAACATCCTCTAGAGAGAGAAACACACACAAAAATGGAAGGTGTGTCTGAGAGCATGTACAAAGGGCTGAGAGGGTATTGGAAGAGAAGAGGCTACGAGAGGCTAAACGGGTCGGGTTCCCGGCGAAGGAAGAGAAGCCTCGATTCGATCCGAAAGAAGAGATCTTGGCGGATCCGGATCGCCCCGAAACTGGGGTTCCTGAGGAGAGTGCCGTCGCCGAAGAAGCTCTTGGTTTGGCTGCGAGACGCCTACGTCAAGCTCATGCTCGGATTCGCTAACTCGCGGGTATGCAGCACTGGGTATGGAAGCGCCATATGTGGAGATGGGATTGGTGGGTTCGGGAGGGGCCCACTCAAGGAGTACGATGATAAGATGATCGTCGAGATCTATAAGTCCCTCGTGCTGGCGCATGGTCAGTTGGTGCCCCGCGACGCAGCCAGGCTCGGCTCCTAAAATCGTACTCTCCCGCCGGTAACGTAATACTTCGTTTACTGTTCATTTTACATGATGTTACGGAAATATATGAAACCAAAAAAAAAAAAAAAAAGGGGGGAAAAATAGTTTTAAATTTAACATTTTACCCTTTTAAGTTTTATTTCTCTTTCTAATTGTAATAAGACGTAGATTTGTGAGCTAATTAGTAACAATAAGTTGTTCAAGTGTCGTCTGAATTATTTATGGGGATAAATTTTATTTTAGTTATTTTTTGGGGTGGGAGGTTGGAAGTTGTGGAATAAATAAGTCCAATATAATAGATGGGGAGTTACAGAATGGAGCATTTTTCCTTTCACTTTATCCTGAGAAAAACATAAGAATATAATCAGTTTATTTCACTCATTTAAATTTTGTTATTGTATAACATTTTTAAAAATAATCATATTTAATTTTTTTATTAAAATAAAAATTTTTTATATAAAATTACATTTGAATTTAAATTAAAAAATAAAATCAACAGACCGAAACACATGTGGGTCCTAACTAACCAAGTGGTATTATTACACAAAACAGGACATAAAATAATATCGTCAAGATGGGGAGACAAAGTTTCATGCATTTTCACTGTACCCAACACTAGCCATTTATCGTGGCAAAAAATAAGCAATACGAGCCAATAAAATTGCTCAAGTAAACTCATCACATCATGGTTATCTTTAGTTTGTATAAGGAAAACTTATTTGGTGGTGAGTGGTACGGAATTGTATAAAATTCCTAACTCCGTCATTGGTTATTGGTTACTTGCTGTACAGATTTATTTGCGGCGTTAAATTATTAGAAGACTTTTACACATTTCTAGCTAGTTACCAGTTTTCCCTAACGTGCGACTTTAAAAATGTTGATTATACATATGCCATTACTTTGAACGAACCCTTTTCATGAATTGATTACTCGTATTATTAGTATTTGAAATCCGTTTGTGAATATAGTAATACATTATTGATTTGACTAGAAAATTACCTTGCACTGCATGATGCAATATTGTAACTTTCATAATATTATATAATTTTAAAAACAAAGCTTAATTTCACACTACTTCCGCGGCCTTTGATAATACATGTGAATATAATAAGTTAAGATCTGCAATTAACAGCCGGACTTTGATTTGCTGCATGTTCCTTTTTCTGTCATATTCGTGATTGTCTCAGAAAAAAATAATTAGATCTGTTTGCCCGTCTACGTGAGCATTCTAGATATTACGGCCGTGGTTGGAATTGATCTCATTTTTATTTTTTATATTTTTCGAGAAAGAAATAATAAAAACGTTTTTAAAACGGCGTTTGACGCAATAAAAATAAAAAATAAAAATGAAAACGATTTTTTAGTTTAGTGTAAAATGAAAGAAATAAAAAACGACTTTTAGTCATTTTTCATTTTTTATTTTTATTCTCCTCTCTCGAGCAGAGCATAGTGAGTTTTTTTACACTGAAAATAATCTCTTGATAAAACTATCAAACGCATTTTTAAAAATAATTTTTGTCTGAGATTGAAAACGTTTTCATTTTCATTTTCATATAAAAAAATAAAATTATTTTAGAACGAGTTTCAAACGCGTCATACATATAATTCTATTTTCATTTTCTTGGATGTTTCTTTAAATTCTTTAAAAAAAAAAAAAAAAAAAAAATTTCTCCCATCCCCTTTCAGACCCTCCCTCAGATCCCCTTTCCGTTATTTAATTAAAACATCTTCAATGCATGCTATATGCCCATATTGTCAAGCTAATTTTTTGTATCGAAAAAAAAAAAAGCTACTCTAATAATGGTGTGCTGAATCATACCACGTTTTTCGAATTATAACTTTGTAACTATAAACAATTGTTTATTCATTAATTGAATCCTTGGTAGAATATGACAAAAAACAAATCCTTATTACGTAGTACATGATTTTTTTTTTTAAAAGCACTGCTTTATTTATAATTCAGACGAAATTATTAGGTAAAACATCACAAAACATAAAAAAAGACGCTACCCCTGTCCCCTCAGAAAGGTAAAATACAAAAACAAAAAACAACGGAACAAACAGGCAAAAGTATATGTTAAAAATTTAAGTTGTTAGGAGGTGGGTCAACAATCTCTCACGTGTGGGCTGGACAATGGGTAATCGTGTGGGTAAATTAATTAAAAAGCTCAACACGTGAATATTTAAGTCTGAGATATATTAAAGACCCAACACGTGATGACAATTTAAATGATGATAAGTAGTGCAATTACGGGGGTGGGCTAACAATAGTTTTATATTTTAACACTCTTCCTCACGTGTGGGCTGGACAATTGGCAATCGTGTGGGTAAATTAATTAGAAAGGTCCACGTGAATATTTAAGCCCGAGATATATTAAAGACTCAACACATGATGATAATTTAAATAGAGATAAAGAGTGTAATTATGGGGGTTTGAATTCAGGATCTCATGCTCTAATACTATGTTAGTTTACCAATCTATTCTAAAAGTTTAAACTATTAAGAGGTGGGCTAACAATAGTTTTATATTTTAACAGTATGTACGTAGTTTCGTTAGCAAAAGGAATGAATAATTAAGAAAGAAGATTCTATATTATACTAATTAAATGGCCACTCAACAAGTACTACTTGCGTTTAAAGGAAGCACAAGGAAATTTCTCTAAAAGCACCAAAGCGTGGTCGACTAATTAGCGTTTTGCAGAGTGAAAGTATTTAATTAAACATTCGAGTCAAAGGAAGAAGTACCCAATTACCATGCCTAACCCCTAATAGTTTGATAGTGCTCTACACATATATAGATATACATATAGATATGGTGATCTATTATATACACTAGATCTATGTATATCTACACACACGTATATATGTATACACGTAGGGGTAGTTGAATCCTTAAATAAATGCTATAAATACTATACGGGCTGGTGTCTGAATTTTCTGATCGATTACTTGTGGTTGGTGCTTTATTTATGATTTTGCGTCTTGGTATGGAGTTAGAATAGCAAAGAACGAAAGAATTAGGATGGAATGGGAATAAAATTGGAATCGATGGGGTAATTAAAGCAATTACTTGCAAATTTTGAGATCGAATTTCGCATGATTTGCGAGGAGAACATTAGTGAAAGCAATTTTCTTCCCTTGCAAATTGGTCCACCAAAGACACTATGATCCCTAATAATTATTAAATACTAAGTATAAAGCACGAGCAGGTATTAGTCAATCAATCACTTAATAATTGCGTGTCAATTCTATAACTTCCAGATTATAACACAAATGTTTAAGGTAACTAAGGCTATCATATATTAAAAAAAAATATAAAAAAAAAGAGTAACTAGGGTTATAAATACCCATTTAAAAAATAGAGAAAGAGAGAAATAGATTAAGACTTGAGGTGAATTAAAATTAATAGGCTAATAGTTCACATAAGTTAATAAATAGGTCAAATTACTGTTTTTGTCCGTAACTTGTCTGGTTATGAACCATAACTTAACAAGTTATTGTCTATAAATCACGGTTTTTATCCATAACTTGTCTGGCTATGAACCATAACTTAACAAAGTTGTCCATAACTTATCTGATTATGAACCATAACTTAACAAGTTATAACCTATTAATTTCTATAACTAAAAGTTAGCTCATATACTTCATTGAGTTTTTCATATTGATCTATTTTTTACTATTTTCGTTTAAAAAACTAGGGCTATAAACATGAAACGGGCCAAACGGACTGATCTGCAACTCACTGTTGCGGCTCAATATCTAATACTGGGCCAGACCAACCTTCATGTCATTTCATTCAATATTTAAAAGAAAAAAATACATGGTTTGCGACAACGCAAATCTATTTTATTTGAGTGAAATGACATAAATAATATTTTTTTTTTTCACTTTGAGTGTTTTTTACATATTTAAACTACATATAAAACATACAGACCAGCACGTATATGGCCGGTAGGACTATTGGTCTGTGGCTGCTGAGTGCCGGTGGGCTGTCTGGTATTTTTTCTGGGCCGCGGTCCATTTCTAAAGGTCTACAGGTAACTGTACAGTATTACACATGAAAAGATCAGAAACTAGTAGTTTAAAGCATAAATTAATGATAAATAATGACAACTGGTGATACTTCATTAGCGTTCTTGTTAAGTGTAAGTTGTTTTCTAAATCAGATCACGCACCCAAAAGGAGAGCCCTTGAGTCGTGTTGGGTAGATTTGATCTTCATTTACTGGTTAGGTTTAGCACTGGGGCGTCTTTTATGAACAACATTGCTATGGGCCTCAGGCCTTCAGCCCAGTGTTTGAGTGTGCATCCTAGTCCAGATTATTCTTTATGATTGATTACCTAACTACCCGTTTAGTTTGCTGATTCGAGTTGATTTAAATTTTTAATTTGAGTTAAAATATTACTTTATGTTAAAATTTTTTATTGTAATAAAAAAATTAAATGTAACTATTTCTAAAAATTTTTTACTGTAATAAAATTCAAATTTTAATTTATTTGTTATAATCATGACCCAATTATTTATTATTTATAGTTCTGTACACTTCTAGGCTGCTAAAAAGAGTCCACGCCACTTAAAATATATATATATATATATATATATATATAAATTATGAAGTCAGACAAGCTCAAAGATAAAGTACAAAACCAAAAAGGGTTCTTGAATAGAAAACTACTAGAAACAGAGGAAGTACAAGTGCAAAACGAAAAAGAAATAGAAAATAAAATAAAGCAATAAACAGTCGAAAGAGATCAGTTGCCTAATCATGATGTTACTTATAAACTAAGAAACGCTCGTAAACAAAGACCCAATGAGTCTAAAAAACAAAAAAACAAAAACAAAAAGTAGCAAACAAAATATACCTAATGAGCATGAATGGACAATCGGGGCTCTTTTGTTATTTTTACAAGAGATCAATATTAGGCTTACTTTCATCTCGAACATTTACTTTTATCTCGAACATTTACTTTTATACATGTAAGATTTAGCAATATCGAAAATTTTAAAATATATAATTTGACCTATCAACAATTAATAAATTATTTATTTTCAACCGAAATAAAATCTAGAATAATTATGGTACGTATGGATTCTAAGTGGAATAAAATGGTTAAGAAATAAAACGGAAATTTTAAAAAAAAAATTATAAAATAAGAAACCAGATTGCACCATTTTTCTCCCTCTTAGAAATTTTTTCTTTTTACTATTTTATACTTTTTATGACCCTTGTATGTCATACTCATGCTAAAACCTATCTAAAAATACACAACTTTGGAGTTAAAAATGATATTTCAAAACCGTTAGATTTGTTAACT